TGGGGACATCCTACCTACAAAATGTTCCTAACAGCCACTCCATGCACAGTCTTGGGACAGCCTTTGCCACTTTGAAGAGAATCTTTAGGCATGGTCGAGTTTCCACCTGTCTGAACACTGAAACGTACGAGGCACGTCAGTCTCAAGATGAGCATTTCCGAGCGACTTGCTGGGTTCTTTTTCCTCAATTTTGTTTTCCACTAAACAATTGCAATGATTGATGTTCTCCTTCATAGATTCACCTTTCTGAAGCTGGTCGTGTGAATCTGTTTTACAAGCAATTCGAGGTTCATGTACACTAGCAGCAAAAACAGCCAGCTTTCTCACCTGTAGACATAATTTTGATCACGATACACCTAATTGACATCGATCATGGCTTCCATAGCTTAATAGATAGAAAAAAAATAGCTATTGTGCAATATAAGTGCTTTTTCCTTAAAGACTACAAGCTTATATAGTTCAATTCAAGTGCAATTCAAGTGCTTTTTCCTGATTCCAGCATGAGATTCACGGTAATGATGTTTCTGAAAAGATAGAATTTTTAGTGTTGTAGTAGTAAATACCTCCAGTATATCTTGCTTAGACCTATAATTTCGAGGAAGTAACTGAAACTCTTTCGTCAAATTCACACACCTGAACATTTTAAATTTTTAAAGGGATACAAAGTCAACAGTGACTTTCTTACAGGACTTAAAAAGAACAGGGCAACTTTATGTGAACTACTATGTCATTCATAAGAGAAGCTAAGGTGCTTACAAGCCAATTATTGTACTGTAGAGTAAAAAGAAAATCAACTTACAAAATAGTGATAACAAAATATTTCGACTTGTATGTTTCATTAAATAGCATATTTTACGAGAATTTACCTGTCTGTTTCACACTTTATGTGGACACTCAGCGAGATTGAACACAGCCTAGCCCAGGTATTGCTCGAACATCCAAGGTTCAACATATAATCAGAAGGAAATAAAATATTCTGGTTAATTTCCCCATGTGATTTCACATCAAAAACAATTAAGCAGAGAAATAAATCTTAAAGAACTACTCCAACTGCATCTTGTGCTTCTCATTCAGATAAAAAGTCTGGTCATGAATAGGATGAACAACATAAAGCAAAGCAACGTGTCAAGATAAAATCAAGCCATTATAGTACAAATGAAATTTGACAACCATTAAGTACACTGTACACACAAAATCTGAAGGAGACATTATAAAATGGTGAAATTCTTCCAGCGCTTTTGCAAGTATTCCATTATTTAGGGCATGGTCTAGTTTTCACCTGTCCAATTTCAAAAACCCGGGCGGCGCATTAAGGCAAGAATTTTTGAGTGTTGCTCTGGATTCTTTTTACTTTTTCCTCAATTTTGTTTTCCACCCGACAAAATTTGCCATCAGTGATCTCACCTTTCTGAAGCTGGTCAGGTGAATTTTTTTTTTCACGCAGTTCGAGGTTCATTTATACCTTGAAGCTCGTCTGAATGTTCAACCTCAGATTCCCATCTCGTTTTAGCAATCTTTTTTCTTTTCAGTGAGCCAGGCTTCGTATCTGTTGTGTGTGTCCACCTGAAATACATCCTCATTACAACATCTTTTCTGAGAAAACTAAAGTGCTTGTTCAGTAAGGACTATAGACATTAAAAAGGAAAGTCTTTAACTGTTTCAAAGTGCGACGATATCCTCCCCCTTTCTTTGTGGAAGGTCGAGTATGCTCACTCCAAGATTCAACAAAGAATATTATTGAGCAGTTGACGTGCATTGTCATATAATTGAATTAGCAAACTTGTAATAAAACTCTTCGACCTATAGTATGAAGTACAAAAACCGAGGCTCAATTTCCAGAATAAAAATACGAAAACAAGATATAACGTACTGTATTTCGTGTTCTTAAACAACCACATGCAGAAACTTCAAAACATGGTGCATTGCATATACACAGAACTGAACTCCCCCCACCTCTATGATGCTATGATAAAGCATCGATGTCTACCAAAATGTATGTAACATTTCAAGTTTGTATGGGGCACCATGTGCTGAATCAAATGTAAGAAGGTTGAAACCTAAACATACATTAGCAAAATACGAGTTTGAACAGGACAGCAAAAGTTTATTGGAAGGGTAATGAAAAACTTTAAGACTACTATAGATGGCCATCTTGATCATAAGCAATAATAAATTTCTCTATATTTCCAGTTTCATACCTAGAGAGCCCCCAAAATGCAACAGCTTGCTGTTGCGTTTTTTCTATCGCAAATGTACAATATCGAACAAGTAATATAATGGACATTTGAGTCTGGATAAATGTTCCCAGGAGGACTATTATTTATTCCTAGTTTACTATTTCAAACTTTTATCTGGCGAAGAATAAACGATGATTTGGTGATTGATTATCTAAAATATTCTAACTACTAGAAGTTTTCAAAGGCACACAAAAATCAAAATAAGGTTTCAAATATGGAAGGGAGATAGGGCTCACAATTTCATCTATTGATTTTAATTCTTTAGTCAAGATTCATAATCTAATGTAGAGTTCGGTTGAATTCTTCTAATGTATTTAATTTATTCCTCTTGAGTTCTCATCGAGTCTATTTAACTAAGTGAATTTCATATCTCTATGTGAATTCGGATAAACTTTAGTTAAACGCATTTGATGTCTAAGAATTCATGTAACGATCTCATTAACTAGTAAAAGTATCTCTACTTTTTATACTAGTTACCGATTTTACTATGGAGTCTAAATTTAAAATTCACCTCTCCTGGTAATAAATTCACAAAATCAATGAATAATTAGCCAAAGAATTCAAGCATTAAACTCCATGAATAAAATCAACACAAACTTTTAAAGAACTAGAATCTAGAAAATAGAAATAAAATGTCTCAATAGATTACATTGTTTTGCCCTAGTGAAAAATCTAGCTACTCGTGATAGATGAAGAAAAACAATAGATATTAATTGAGCACATCACCGGGTTTTGAATTAAGATGTAGAGAAGTGGACGAATCTTGCACCAAGATGATCTTCATACCAATCAATCTTCAAACCCTTTGATTTCTTGTTTTTTCTTTGATTTACCTCTCCTAATTCTCAAATTGTTTCCTTGTGTTTCTCCATGAGTGGAATCCTTCAAAAGTGCCTCTCCTCCTGTATTTATAGTTCTTCTGGCCAAAAATCCGCACCTTAGGACGCATCGGCGACGCCTAGGCGCCATGTGACCGGCGTCGTGTTGTTATGTTGGGTGGTGCCTAGGTACCAAATGGCGGCGCCACCTTTCGGTATAAAATTTGCCTCTCGTGAGGTGCCTGAGCGCCACATGTTCTGCTTTCTTAGCTTCTGGTGGCGCCAGGGTGCCATCTCTTAGGAAATTTTTTCGGCTTTCCTTCTTGTCGTGGTGCTTGGGCACCCCGTTGATGTTGTGAAAATTTCATTTTTGCCCTTTTTCTTCCCTTCTCTTTAGTTTATGCCAATTTCACTTGTTTCTCCAACTTCTGCATTATTAACACGACCACACAAAACCTATAAAACAACGCTGATGCACACATTAAAACGTTCTAAACTCGTGAGATCTAACCAATTATCAAGTTAAAATAGTATAAAAAGAGTGAGTTAAACACACTCATCACTTGCCCCGAGTGTCGTCCTATCGTGCTAGGTAGAGCACGAGAACTCGATATATCGGCAATACCATGAAGAAAATGTAGCTGCATTAGCAACAAGTAAATAAGAGGGGGAAAAAGAAAAAGAAAAGGAAAATGTCACTACATATTTAGCAATTGCAAGTGCTCATGGAATAAAGAATTCTGATGATAATTTTGCTCATCTTCGTATAAAGTTAAAACTAAAATTCATCATTGTTTTGACTTCTATATGTAGGTCCTTAAATTCATCAAATTTTAGGTGGTTCCAATTAATTATTTACACAATCTTAAGTAAGTATCTACTCCAATAAGATACTTCACTGACAACAACAAAATAAACCATGACTAACTCGAACAGGAATAAAAAAGACAACATATCAAAGAGCATAAGAAATTCCACTTTAGTTTTGACATCAGATTTCTCGCTTCAGTAGTCGCAACACTTGTAGCAAAAACAGCAAGCTTCTTCTTCACCTGTAGCAAATATAAATGTGATCACGATAAACCTAATAGAACACCTATACTGGCTGCAATAGCTAAAGGGTAAAAAATTTCTATGCAATTGAAGTGCTTTTTCCTTAATAAATACTTTTCCTTGAAATAATGATCTTGTGCTACTTTATTGTGTCCTGGTGATTAAAGCATTTCACGAGTAAGTTAAAATCTAACGGGATGTAATTTTGTGGGTGTCCATTTTTGCATTTGACTTACTACATTTTTTATATAAAAAAAAGGATTATACCCCTATTTGGTAAGGATTAAACTCAGATTTTTAGTAAATTTTAATAAAAATTGATGAAATGTGTGGTTGAAAAGTTGTGAACCCATGAAATATATGCTTAAAATTTATTGTTGACTTTGACTTAAATTAAAATCTGAATTTTAATTGGTAACAAACAAGGGCATATTTATCATTAATTTCTTTCCCCGTATCCTAGAAGAAAGTGAAAAGTCTTTTTTTTTTTAAGGCTCTTTATACTATTGTCTTTTGTCCTCTATTTGAGTTTCCCAAAGGTGATTTGCTATTGTGTGCTGCCAGTATTTATGGTTAGCAATTAGGAAGAGAACTTGATGGCACTCTACAAGGGAGTCGGGACACACTTTTTGAATCTTTTGGACATATAAGTGGATTCTGCGTGAAGATGATTTGTATCAGCATAGTTCATAGCAGGGAAGAGCTTCCAATTGTTATAGATTTCATCCTATAGCATATATTTTCTTCGCTCTGAATGTCTTAATAAACTGATGTCACTGGTTATCCCAAACTCCTTTCCTTATATTGTGCAATTGAAGTGCAATTCAAGTGCTTTTTCCAAAAAAATTGTCAAATCCCGACAACAGAAAATCCACAGTGATTTCTGCTCAATCATATCCTCAATTTGAGAGTTAAGAGAAGAATAATTAAGTCATATCTGGTGAATATACCAGTATACCCAATCATCTTCCTCAAATACCGCAACCACTATATCATCCTCAGCCAATTAAGTACTTTAAAATGATATAAATACAAAGGCATTATTAAACATTCTGAGTGATATATACCAAGTAGAGAGACAAATTCCACATTTGTATAGTACCACGTATGCAGGCTTCATTGTCTAGCTGAGACCTCTGCTCTTGTTGTATATGCCTCAGGACAGGTAGAAGTTAGGGACCTTTCAACTCTGATACTCTCATTGGTTTCTACACAGCACCCTAGACCAATCAAACTATGTCAAAAAAAAAAAAATACAGAAATAACGTAGAACAATGATAGCATAAGTGAGGCCATGATATCTTTACATGTACAACTGCTTAATGGCAAGCTTTGCAATTGCAATTTCCACAGCAACATGGGCATGATTTCAAAATTTCCTCTTTTCTCCTCTCGGGATACCTAGGTCATTATATGCATTTTAAAAATATAACCAGATATTTTACCAACCAACTCATAAATATGATTACGTCAACCACATAAATCAGCATAAATATAGTCAACGAAACTTACTAAAGAAGTTTAAGATGCATAATAGGTGAAGTTTCTTCTATTTCCTACCTCAAAATCTATGAAGTCCGTGATCATTCATGAAAAATATACATTTACAATTTTGTCAGTGAAAGGAACTAGTATCTATCTTTACCACTTTTCAATGCACTCATAAAAGTAGTGTTTTTTCTTGCATTTTAAACAGATGACAGCGCCGAGGTTATCATTCTTCAGGCATTGGTGACACGTTGAATTTTTTGATATTATATCCTCGTACCTTTATATAAGAATAGAATTAAAACCGAACCTTCAATGTGACAAAACCAACTGCCACCTCAGAGGCCCATACAATACAACATAACACTCATAATGTAGAGAATAGTAAAAGCCTAACAATCTTTATTCTTCGGAGTATTCCCTTCATCTCTACAATTATTCGACATGATTAGTTGAAGGGAAATATCCAAATACATAGATTATTATTTTCAATAATCCATACATATACAGAAAACTTGAGAAATTATAAAACCAAACATGCTAAAAAAAAGGTTAAAAAGTAAACAATGAGAATGTGATATGCAAGGTACTCCAATTTATTTGAAGCATCCATATTGTGTGATGCCATCAACTTATTGGGACAAAGGAAGATCACTTTGATCTCATCTCATGCCTTTACTAGCAATAAGTCGCCCCAAATTTACATCATTTTGGATTTTTTACAATACTTTTTACTAAAAAACCTATAACCCATCGCGCTTGATAAAAGTTGACTTCTGAGAGAGTCAACAACTAAGTGATTTTCGTGAATGAGGTCTGTACACTAATGTCTAGACTTCATCCTTGAAAACTTGAATTATTCTGAATGGATCGATTACTTGTGTATTACTGACATGTATTATTTTCATTTCCCTCTATATGTGATGCTATGATAAAGCACGTGTCTATCAAAATGTTTGTAACATTTCTAGTTTGTATGGGCACCAATGTGCTGAAACAAATGTCAAAGGTAAAAACCTAAACATACATCAGCAAAATACGATTCTGAACAGGACAAGAAAAGTTCGTTGGAGCATTCTATAGATTGTAAATGATCATCTAATCCTCTGAAGCAACAATACATTCCTCTGTATTTCCCACTGCTCCGAGAGACCCTCAAACAACAACAGCTTGCCCCGGTTATGGCCATATTGCACTTGGTGGACTATCAGAATTCAATTCATCAGCACTCCTATGAAGAAAGTGTAGCTCTAGCAACAAGTACTGAATAAAGTGGGGAAAAAAGGATAATGTCACGACATATCTAGCAATTGCAAGTGCTCGTGGAATAAAGAAATCTGATGATAATTTTGCTCATCTTTGGATGAAGTTACATCAAAATTCGTAAAAATTTTTCAACAGTCTACTATTAGATAAAGTTCAAGAATGCTATTTTTCTTAATAACATCTCCCTGTGCTCGAGATTTAAGGATGGCAGTAGTTATACTTTGTTTCCACTGATGTATGTAGGAAATTAATCAAAATTTAAGTGGTTCACTCCCTTAAACTTTCTTGTCAAATCTATAATTTATTTAAACAACAATCTCCTACTCCAATTACATATTTTACAGACAACAACAAATGAAATCAAGAGTAAATTGATCAGTAATGTAAAGAATAATATACAAAAGAACACGAGAAATTTAACTTTAGTTTTGAAATCAGATTTCTCGCTTTAGTGGTGGCAACACTTGCAGCAAAAACAGCTACTTCTTCGCCTGTTGAAAATAGAATTTCGATAGTGTTAAACCTATTAGAACATCGATCATATTTGTCATAGCTAAATACAAAAAAAATTGCTATCGTGCAATTCAAGTGATGTTTCCTTCAACACTACATGCTTATATTGTGCAATTCAAGTGCAATTCAAATTTGAGGTTTCTCCATATCCTGAAAATCCTATCAGTTGCAGATTTTTCTTAAGCCACTTGGCCTGCTGTATCTTTCTTATCTAAGGTTTCTTATCTTTTGAACCCTTTGGTCGACCTCATCTACCCTTCTGGTTAACTTCATCTGAAATCTCATTACTAAAAGCACTATCAAGACCATCATTTTTCTTAACAGTCCCATCGCCATCATTATTACCAACAAAGTCTATGACTAAGCCTCCCTCAACATCACCGGATGATGTATGTGTTTCACCATTAACAATGCAACCTCATTTTCTGGGTTTGGTCAATAATAGGTAGAAGTTTCTTTGAGAATTCCCTCCACAATCAGTTTCTTGATTTTCCTTCTGCTGGTTTTTCTTCATTTTCCTCCTATCATACAAACGCTTTGTATTCAATTCCGTGGCTCTGGCAGAGAGTTTTGCCAGGAATAGCTTCTGATTTGCACCTCCATTTTCCTCTGGACACAGTCCTACAGCACTGCTTCCTCTGATCAACCCCTTCACCACCACCAGAGTCACCTGTACCACCGGTCGCCACTTCCATTATTTCCCAATTTATTTTTTCTCACAGCCACCAAAAAGAAAGTAACAAAAATCCCTTGTAAACCCTTCACTTAAAGGCCCAAATTTTGTTGGCGAATTGAATAATTCGCCACCTAGCTGCTCTAATATGTAGGAAGAAAAAAGAATGCAAGCTGATTAAGAAGAATTCAATTTCAAATTCATCCCTTCACATTAACAAGAAATGGTGTCAGAATTCCCTACACCAGTTTCTTGATTTTCGTTCTGTTTATTTTTTCTCATTGTCCTCATTTCGTACACGTTACCTGTACAACATTCTTAGACCATGTTTGTCACCCTTTAAAACAAAACTCTTTAATTCTCACTCATTTTCAACCACACATTTACACCATTAAATATTTTACATATAAACCCAAAACTTTTCCATACTTTTTTAACACATTCTCCAAAAAACTCAAAACTCCATTTTTTCAAAATAATAGATCTCAACTAAATCAAACAGAAATGCAAAACAAAATATATCAAACAGCACGAGAAATTTAACTTTAGTTGACATCAGATTTCTCGCTTCAGTGGAGGCAACGCTTTGCAGCAAAAACAGCAAACTTCTTCACCTTTAGCAAAAAGAATTTTGATCGTGTTAAACCTATAAGAACATTGATCATGACTTCCATAGACAAATAAAAAAAAAATTGCCATCGTGCAATTCAAGTGCTGTTTCCTTCAAAACTACCGTGCAATTCAAATTTGAGGTTCTCCATCTCCTGGAAATCCTCAAAATTTTAAAACATTGAACTTTTCACAATAAATCTGTACTTCGCTAGAACCAATCCTAACCTCTTTTTTCAGTCCTAACAACATCATCACTTTCTTCATGAATTCTCTTCTTCTCATTATTCTTAGAACCCTTTGGCCTTCCTTTCTTCTTTGCCCTAAGAGCACCACCATCATCACCCCCATTTTCTCCAACAATCACACCCACTTGCCCTTCGCTCTCTGCCCTCAATTTTCTGATTTTTCTTGTCACATGCCGCCTCCCACCACCACTCATATCACTATTTCCAGAAATGGTGTCATAATTCCCTCCACCATTGGTTTCTTTATTTTTTTCCATTGGATTTTCTTCATTTTCCTCCGTATACAAATGCTGGTATTCAATTTCGTGCCTCTGGCAAGAGTTTTACCAGGAATAGCTTCTGATTTGCACCTTCAATTTTCTCTGGACCCAGTCCTACGACATTGCTTCCTCTGATCAACCCCTTCACCACCAACGCCACCACCACCAGCCGCCACTTCCATTATTTCTCAAATTTTTTTTCCTCACAGCCACCATAAAGCAAGTAACAAAAAACCCTCGTAAACCATTCACTTAAAGACCCAAATTTTGCTGGCGAATTGAATAGTTCGCCAATGCTCTAATAGGTAGGAAGAAAACAGAATGCAAGCCGATTAAGATTGCTGCAATTTCAAATTCATCTCTCCACATTAACAAGAAATGGTGTCGAATTTCCTCCATAACCGGTTTCTTGATTTTCCTTCTGTTTATGTTTTCTCATTGTCCTCCTCTATATAAGTTACCCGTACAGCATTCTTAAAGATCAATCTACTCCAATTAGATACTTTACCGATAACAACAAAACAAACCTCTCTAAATCAAACAGAAATGCAAAGAAAACATATCAAAGTGAACGAAAAGTTTAACTTTAGTTTTAACACTCGCTTAAGTGGTGGCACCACTTGCAGCAAAAATAGCCAACCTGTAGAAAATAGAATTTTGATCGTGTTAAACCCATTAGAACATCGATGATGGCTTCTGTAGCTAAATTCAAAAAACAATTGCTATCGTGCAATTCAAGTGCTGTTTTCTTCAAACTACATGTTTATATCGTGCAATTCAAGTGCAATTCAAATTTGAACCGGCATCTCCTTACATCAATTACAGCAACATTTTGCTTGTTCTTTGACCCCTCGGTCGCACTAATAGAAAATATGAAAACAAGATATTGGACAACTTTTTTTTTAGAGAAAATGTTCATAAAAATCTGCATGCAGATACTTCACAACATGGTGCATTACATATAAGTTTACACAGAACTGAACTTCCCCCCTATTGACATTTCTATCTATGATGCTATGATAAAGCATGTATGTCTATCAAAATGTCTGTAAAATTTCTAGTTTCTATGGGGCACCAGGTTAACACCGAAACGTACATCAGCAATATATGAGTTTGAACAGACCACAAAAGTTTATCCGAAGGGATATGAAAACTTTCAGAATCTCGATCGTCTGAAGTAGTAATACATTCCTCTTATTTCCAGTTTTGTCCATAGAGCATCCTCAAACTACAACAGCTTGCCCCGGTTGTTGCCCTATTGCGCTGTGTGGATCACGAGAATTTGATTCATCAGCATTCCTGCAAAGAAAGTGTAACATTAGCAACAAGTACAGAATAAAGAGGGTAAAAAAAAAGACAATGTCGCCACATATCTAGCAATTGTAAGTGCTTGGAGGATAAAAAAATTCGAGGATAATTTTGCTCATCTTTGGATAAAGTTACATCCAAAGTTCCTCAACAGTCTACTTACATAAAATTCAAGAATGCTATTTTTCTTTATAATGTATCTCCAAGTGAAGAGGATTATGCTCGAAATATAAGGATGGTAGTAGCATATTTATGCTGTTTCGACTGCTATATGTCCTTAAATTCAACAAATTTTAGGTGGTTCATCATTTGTACAACAATCTTAAGGAAGGATCTTCTACTCCAATTAGATATTTTATTGACAACAACAAATGAAATCAAGTGTAAATCGAACAGTAATGCAAAAGATACTATATCGAAGAGCTCGAGAAATTTTACTTTAATTTTAACATCAGAGTTCTCGCTTCAGTGGTGGCAACACTTGCAGCAAAAACAGCCAGCTTCTTCACCTGTAGCAAATATAATTTTGATCAATATAAACCTAATAGAACACCGCTGATGACTACCATAGAAAAAAATTGTTGTTGTGCAATTCAAGTGTTTTTTCATATTTGCAGTGTGAGATTCACAGTAATAATGTTGCTGAAAGATAGAATTTTAGTGGTAAAGTAGTAAATACCTCTAATATATCTTGCTTAGATCTATGATATTGAGGAAGCAAACGAAACTCCTTTGTCAAGTTGATACACTCTTGAACGTTGTCAGGGGATACAAAGTCCACAGCGACTTTCGTACAGGACTAGAAAAGAACAGGGTAACTTTATATTAACCACTACGTCGCTAATAAGAGGAGAGAAGGTGCTTATAAGCCAATTATCATACCAAAATGTGTAAAAGGAGCATACTTTATGAGAGGTTTACCTGTCTGTTCCGCACTTGATGTGGGCACCCAGCGGGAATGAACACAGCCTCACCAAGGTATTGCTCAAACGTCCAAGGTTCTACATCTACTCAGAAGGAATTAAAATATTCTGGTTAGTTTCCCCACGTAGTTCCATATAAAATACGATTAATCAAAGAAATAAATCTTACCAAACTCCTCCTTCAACTGTTTCTTGTGCTTCTCATTCATATAAAAAGTCTGGTCATGAATAGGATGAACAACCTAAAGCAAAAGAAACATGCTAAGACAAAATTAAATCTTCATATAGAAATTTGACAACCATCAAGTACTCACAGAATACGAAGGCGACATTGTATAATAGCGAAATTCTTTCCAGTGCTTTTGCAAGTACTCCATTAATTTGGGCACATCCTGCCTACGAAAGATGTCCCAAACAGCCCCTGCATGTACTGTCTTGGGACAGTCTTTGCCACTTTGAAGAGAATCTTCAGGCACAGGCAACTTTTTACCTTTGTCTGAATATGAAAACCCGGGTGGCACATCGGTCTCGAGACGAGCATTTCCAAGTGACGTACTGGATTCTATTTGTTCATTTTCATCAATTTTGTTTTCCACAGGACAACATTTGCTATCATTTATGTTCCCTGTGTCAGCACATTCCTTCACAGTTTCACCTTTCTGAAGCCGGTCGGGTGAATTTGTTTTACATGCAGTTCGAGGTTCATGTATACCTTGAAGCTTGTCTGAATCTTCAACCTCAGATTCCCTTCTCATTTTAGAATTTTTTTTCCTTTTCAGTGAACCAGGTTTCGTCTTTGTTGTATGCGTCAATATGTTAACCTGAAACTACATCCTTGTTAAAACATCTTTTCTGAGAAAACTGTAAGTGCTAGTTTGGTGAGGACTATAGGCAGTAATAAAAAAGAAAAAGCCCTTTAAATCTTGTTTCTTTATACTCTTCGATCTTGTCTAGTATTGCATGCCAAACATACTCTAAATGGCATACCCGGCATGTGAGGCGAAAGCACAAGAAGCCAAAATATCTAATTGTTGACAGAGGGAAAATTTAATGATAATGCTGTCAAAGGATTCAAAAACCTATCATAAATACAAATTCAAAGTCAGTCAGGATTTCTATATATGGCACATAAAGATCAAATNTAAATACAAATTCAAAGTCAGTCAGGATTTCTATATATGGCACATAAAGATCAAATTAACAAAATTGATAACTATATCCGAAATTGGACTGAATCGACAAATGGAAAGGGCCAAAATGGAGCATATTGGGGGTACTGAGAATAAGAAAAATAATACTACTAAGCTTTAGGGATAAAGACAGGATTACGAGTCTGAAAAGACAAGCTAAAGTCCTCAATAAGACTAGTCAATTTCAATTATTCTTTTATCAGATCGTCTGAGAATCATTTATTTTGGAAAAAAACAATGCGATAAGCATATGCAGAAAAGGTAACATATAATGAACCTACCATAAGTGTACGATCAAAAGCAGTAATGGCATGTTTGGTTAGTTGGATTAAGCACTACAATTATGATTTTATATTCAATTACAGCAACATCAGGTATAAAATTTGCCTAAAAGTGACCNCTGAAGATCCATAGGCGATATAAGTTTTAGGTCCCAAGTCAGGTTTTAAGGCACCCTCGGGGAGCTTGGTAGCAAGATTCAAAATACCAGATTTTGGATGGGTATAATCACTAAATGGAAGCATGGTCAAGAATTCACTACCATGCCTTGGTAAACATTCTTCAAACAAACTTGTAGGTGGCCAGTCCTTCAACTTCAGTATTTGAGGCAAACCATTTAGATGCTTACGGCCCTCTAAGTAGCCCCTAAAAAACTGGTGAATATTAATCTCAACCTGTAACATGGAAGAAATATTAATACAAAAATTATAGTTTCTCGTCTAGAGATTTAAACTGCCTGCATCTAATGGGAATTGCCAAAAAGCATTCAATTTATTCTCAAGAACAATAACAACAATCTAGCCTCATTCCCAATAAACATGGGGTCACCTACAAGATTATTATTATTATTTATTTATTTATTTGGCAAACCACCTAAAAGATTTACCTATTCGACTGCAATTCAATTGATTCTCAAGTTCATAAAAATTACTTGATTTAAAGAGTATCTTTCAAGTGTAGAACTTGGTTAATCAACAGATGAACTGAACTTACTTAGGAAATCGAGGATAGCTATCAACAGAGAACTTTTATACCTGTTCTAGTAAACATAAGATTCTCTTTTAAAAGGAAAAAACCTCGATCAGCCAAGTCCGTAGTAACTGGATAAAACTCATGTGCACCAGAAGACACAGGAAAATGCATGAAACAAGTAAACTACATATAAAACCCAACACGTACCTCACACAAATCCATGCAGTCAATAGCCTTCACAGAGTAATTCTCAGCTTTTAATTTTTTGCTTGCATGTCTGAAGGCCCTCCACATCACCATTGGCTCCCAACTAAGACCCGATGCCTTAGCCAGTGTATTTCTAACAATGACTGGTTCACCTCTCCTCCAGTGCATTTGAAAATGTTCAAACTCAGAATCTCCCGGATCAATAGCATTAGGACAGTAAAGAAAGTTATCTTGACTGTTTTCTCTCCATGCTGCTTGTCTTACTTCCATACGAGTATTACCATCTTGAGCAGAGTGATTAACAAGGCACAAAAAACATTTTTGAGAAAATTCAATATCCGTTGACTGGATACCGGACGTAAGGTCCTCTGTACGCCTAATTAATTCATCCACCCAATTAGCGTCAAAAATCCGTTTGAGCACTAGATCCTTGGAACCACAACCACCATGCTCTTTGAGAGGACATGGTATGCTGCCATTAATCTTTGCTTCCCATTTAGGGAAGTCAAAAGACATGTCATGTACATGGCCATTGACATGAAGAGTTTTTGCCTCAATACTTCCAGGCTGAATACCTTTTCTGAGTTCAGAACAACAATCAAGGCAGATTTCATAAGAACAATCTGGGTTCGGGCAGCTTCGGTGGAAATTGACAATGGAAGTCTTGCAATTGTCACTGAATAAGAAAGCTTTCAAAGTTAAGGTTTGGGACATCATGAACTACAGTCAAAAGGCAGAAATGGCATCAAAGATCTGAGGATTAAGCCAAATGTTGAAAAGAACGATACTTCGGAAAGAAATCACAATTTGAAACCACCATGTGTATAGTGCAACATTAATCAGAAGTATAATTTAAATACAATAATCAATTTAAAGAACGTCTAGGAACACCACAGATTGAGTAATCCAGCCCTTTTGAGAAATCTTAATAAGGAAAAGAATACAGGTTTATAAGAATGGAATACTGACATGTAGGTATAGTTTAGTCCAACAGCTTCACAGGGTAATTTCCATTTTTTGAAACAAATACCATAATTATAGGGGGGAAACACTTGAAACCAGTGTATAAGTACAATAAAAAAACCGTTTACAGATGGCTGTGCTGAAAAGCTTCAAAAGAATTAGTCAAATCCCGACAACATAAAATTTATAGTGAACATACCAGTATACCCGATCATCTTCCTCAAATACTGCAACCTCTATATCATCCTCGGTCAATTGAACACCTTAAAATAATATCAAGTACAAAGACACTGTCAAACATTCTAAATTATACATCTCAATAAGTAGAAAGACAAATTCCACATTATTATTGTACCACGTATGCAGGCTTCAATGTCTAGCTCAGACCTCTGCTCTTGTTGTATATGCCTCAGGACAGGTAGAATTTTAACAAGCAAGTATAGGGACCTTTCCAGTCTGATACTCTCATTGGTTTCTTCCTGACAACCCTAAAACAACCAAACTACGTCAAATACGAGAACACTGCAGTGGATGCATGATGATAATGTAGTAAAATAATTATAGCACAAGTGAGGTCATGATACCTTTTCGAGTAAAACTGTTTGAAGGCAAATTTTGCAATTGCAATTCCCACAGCAAAACGGGCATGATTTCAAAATTTCTTCTTTTGTCCTCTCCGGATACCTAGTTCATTATACAAATTTCAAAAATATAACCACATATTTTACCAACCAACTCATAAATATGATTACATCAACCACGTAAATCAGCATATATATACACTAAATGAAACTTCCTAAAGAAGAGTGAGACAAATAATAGGTGAAATTCGTTCTATTTCCAACCTCAAAATCTATGAAGTCAGTGATCATTCAAGAAAATATACATTTTCAATTTTGTCAGTGAAAGGAACCAGTAACTCTCTTTACCACTTTGCAATGCACTCATAACAGTAACGTTTCTTCTTGCATTTTGAACAGATGACAACACCAACATTATCACTCTTCAAGCATTGGTGACACATTGATCCCCGGTGCTCCTTCTGTTTGGTGGCATCCTGGAAGAAAAATAATATTCATATACGTTCAACTTAGATCTTGAAAAGATACGTGAAGGCACCATAATATAGAACATCTCAAAAACAATATTTATACTGAGAAGTAAAAACCTTCCTCCTTATCTTTGTGCTTCGAATTTCTTCTTATTATCTACGTATCTTTATATAAGAATAGAATTAATGCAGAAACTTCAATGTGACAACACCAGCTGCCACCTCAGAGGCCCACATGAAATGACACTTATAGTGCGTAAGATGTTACAAGTCTAACAATATTCATTATATGGAAAACTTAAGAAATTATAAACAACCAATTACGCTGAAACCAGTTAAAGATATAAACAGAAAATACGATATGCAAGGCAAAATTGTGGTTTGATGTACTCCAATTTATTTGAAGTATTCAAATGGTATGATGCCATCAACTTATTGGAACAAAGGAAGATCACTTTGACCTCATGCATTTACTAGCAATAAGTCACCCAAATTTAAGTCATTTTGGATTGTTATAAAACTTTTTACTAAACGAACCTCTAACCCTCACCCCCACCCCCACCCACACCCACACCCACACACACTTTATAAAAGTTGACTTCCACAAGAGTCAATGACTATTTTCTTCTGAATGGGGTATATCCATTAACGTCTAAACCTCATCCTTGAAAACATGTCTTATTCTGAATGAATCGATGACTATTGAGTTTGTTGATACTCGTTAGATCCTCCGCAATAATTGCTAAAAGTAGCATCAATGATGGTGGGCCATTCACAAGATTAAGTCTGTCGTGTAGTTTATTGTCCTAATTAGGTGACAGTTAGCTACTGTTTTCCGGTCTGAATTTGGTAACTAAGATGACAATAGATTAATGTCATTTATTCTAAACCCTCAAACTCAATATATCTTTAGCCATCACGTTATTGAATGTTAATTAATACGCATAAAAACTAAACTAGGCTAGTGTAAAAAGATAAGAAACTGACCGACATTCCCACAATTGATGGGTTGTTTGTTTGCTCCCCCATGCATGCAAATTCATTATCTTCTGCAACCCATGTCCTTTGAGGTTTCTCTTTCTCCTGAGAATTCTCAAAACTGACATTAAACCGTTCAGAAGACACCTGAACTTCGCTAGAACCAACTGGCAGCAGAATTTTCTTTAGGCCCTTGGGCCTGCCACGCCCTTCCTTCTCAGAAGGCGTCTTATTTTTTGAACCCTTGGGTCGCCCTCGTTTACCCTTCTGATTAACTCCATCAGAAAGCTCATTACTAAGAGCACTACCATGATCGTCAATTCTCTTAATAGTCCCAACGCCCTCATTATCACCAGCAAAATTTTTGCCTAAGACTCCATCAACGTCGCTGGACAATGTATGTGTTTCTCCATCAACAATGCAACCTTTCATTTTCTGGTTTTGGTCAATCATAGGTAGAAGTTTCTTTATGTTCTTGGAACCCTTTGGCCTCCCGCCGCCTCCTTTCTTCTTCAAAATCCCATCTCCAAGGGGTTCTCCGTCTTTATCAACTCGAACTGGCATCTCCTTATCATCAGTCACGACAACCTTTTGCTTGTTCTTTGACCCCTTCGGCCGCCCCTTCTTTGCAACACCTTTAACAACTTGACCGCTATCCTCCATAGGAATTTCCCTATCCTCATAGATGCCGAGATCTCTAGGGGCTTCCTCGTTCTGAACAATCCCTGCCGACTGCGGGGACCCAACTGTACCTAAATCCTCCCTTTTTCTATTGACACTAACAATTGTCACTTCATCCTCACTGCCTTCATCATTCTTAACATCATTGGCCACCTGCATTGCCTCGATTTCATTCCCAATTTCAACTCTCTTTTCCTCTTCAGAACTCTCTTGCCTCCCTCTTTTTCCAATCCTAACAATATCATCATTTTCTTCATGACTTCTCTTCTTCTCCTTATTCTTAGAACCCTTTGGCCTTCCTTTCTTCTTTGCCACGAGAGCAGCACCATCTTCACCCCTATTTCCCTCAACAACCACGCTTAGTTGCCCTTCACTTTCTCTGCCCTCAATTATCTGATTTTCCTTGCCCGCTGACACCTCCGCATCACCACCCACATCCCTATTTACAGTAACAGCGTTAGAATTTCCTCCACCGCCCATTTCTTGATTTTCCTTCAGCTGGATTTTCTTCATTTTCCTCCTCTCATACAAACGTTTGTATTCAATTTCGTGCCTCTGGCAGAGAGTTTTGCCAGGAATAGCTTCTGATTTGCACCTCCAGTTTCCTCTGGACCCAGTCCTACGGCACTGCTTCCTCTGATCAACCCCTTCACCTCCAGCGCCACCTGCACCACCAGCCGCCACTTCCATTATTGTCCAACTTCTTTTCTTCTCACAGCCACCAAAAAAGCAACAAAAAAAACCCTTGTAAACCCTTCACTTAAAGACCCAAATTTAGCTGGTGAATTGAATAATTCGCCTACTAGCTGCTCTAATAGGTAGGAAGAAAACAGAATGCAAGCTAATTAAGAAAGAATTCATCTCTCCACATTAACAAAAAATTAAAGTTATAGCACTTACTACTCACTGCCAGCACATACAGCAGAAATTTTAGTGATCTCTCCATAATTTCAAGAATCCCTACTGAATTACATTTTTCCTCTCTCTTTCCCGTTGGGATTTTATTCGCTGAAGACTTTTACCAGCTTTCGAAACCGCATTTCTCGCAACTTCAATACACACGCCTTTAGTTCGAACTGCAGGAGACTGTAAGTATGAGACAAGAGAGAAGAAGAGAGATACAATCGAGGCTTGGTCTGTTTATGTGGGACCTACTGAGTTTAATATTATTTGTTGGGGTTCACGTGGTTTCAGCGTCGTTTAATGAAAAGTTTTAACGTTAAAATTTCAGAAGAATCTGAATTCAAGTGGTATGGTATTAGAGAATTAGGTGATTTTCTGACAAAATTTTGTCAGAATTTGGTGAAGGCGGTCAATCCTGCTCTTTTCTTGTTTTATCATTTAATCAAAATTTTCTAAATTCATGTATAAGATTTTGTGATTGTTCGATAATTTCTGGAAAAAAGTAAAGTCGAGATTTTAATTAAAACACGTGGAACAAAATTTTTGTATTTGTTTGAATATTTGATCGATTTACGTGAGAAAATTGGATCAAGATCCATCGACATAAATGTAGCTAATGATGAGCAGTTTACAATTATCTGTTGAATTACAATGTCAAGCTAGATCAAGAATTAGTTTTTTTGATAGGGTCCTAACATAATTTATGCTATTGTTAAATAATTAAAAAAATAGAATCTTTTGTATTTCGACTATTTTCTAGAAAAAAAATGAATCGATGTGTTAATTCAAAAGACAAATAATGATCATTTGTCGGCTTTCGAGCGAAAGCTAGATCAAGACGAAATGATATGAAGGAATTTTTTTTATTAAAGCTTAGATCGAATCATAAATCGAATTTTTTTTTTTGTATTTAACAATTTAAACACTCGATTTATAATACCAAGTCAATCCATAAACAAAATGCAAGCTCAAATTAATATGTATAATTTATTGAAAAATAAATTATTATTTTATTTCAAAATGTCACGAGTGCAGATACATTTTCTCAAATGGCCAATACTAAACTAACACTAATTTCGTGTATAAGATTTTTGTATTTGTTTGATTATTTCTTGATAAAAGTTGAGTCGAGATTTTAGCTGAGACTATTGTGTGATTATTCGTTGCCTTGTCAGTGAAAACTATCAAGATTTTATTTACAAGCATCTCGACAAAAATGAGGTTATTGTCGAAAATTTGTAGATGTCATGTAAAATTAGTGTAAGAGAAAGTTGAGTGGAGACATCAATTGAATCGATCAAAGTTATTATTTGTCGGGTTTATAAGTGGGAGTTAGGGTGCGTTTGATTGCAATGGTGGAAAATGGGTGGAAAGAAAATGTTTTACAGGGAAAATGTTTGCCTAGAAAATGTTTTGCAGGGAAAATGATTTCAAGTGTGTTTGATTGATATAATTTTCCACCCGGAAAATTTTTAAATTTTTTATTCGTTTGGCTTTGTTTTACATGGAAATTGTCCATTAAAGTGATATTTTTTTCCACAATTGGTTATAAAATTTGTTTCCATTACCAAAAAGAAAAAAAAAAAAAGGGAAAAAAAATTGTTTCCTAAGAAATCATTTTTTTCATCAAAGTTTAGTGTTNCAGCCAGCCTGGAAAATTTTTTCTCACCAAAAAGGCGGGAAAATATTTTCATCAAAAAGCCGGAAAATGCACACGTGTGGGCTAAACCCGGAAAATATTTTCCGTGGAAAATTTCGCCTATCAAACAGCCAAAAAAGTGGAAAGTGGAAAATATTTTCCTAGTTGCCTGGAAAATAAGGCGTATCAAACACGCCCTTAGATCAAAATTTTATCTACTTTCATCACAACAAAAATACGGCCGATCTCAAAATTAAAAGAATAATGATTTTTCTTCAAACAGAAAAAATCAAATTAAATATAAATTGAGTTTCTAATGAAAATTTGAGTTTACTCAGAACTAAATGACATGTTAGTGATAACCATAGAAATGAAGCATAGAATTAATGGGACAATATTCAACTAGTATCACACTAAATGACCAATGCAATATTTAGAGACATGGAGAAATACAACGTTAAAAGCATATTAATGAATCACGTACTTTAATTGATCTGTTGTTATAGTTGGCGTTCATTTATCAGTACAAGTCAATTTCAACACTTTATTGAAGTGTCAAAATCAATCAAAATATTTGTTAAAAATGTAAACATAACACAATCTCAATATAGCCTTGTTTGAGGATGGTTGCTTCTTACTTAAATAATTCAATATTGAGATATTGTACAATAAAATGAAAAAAACAATTGAAGAAATGACAATAATATGTTAAAAATGAATAATGTTATTCATAGCGAGAACTACCGCCAGTCGCTCTACGTGACATATATTTGGTAGTTTGATATTTGATGTATTAATGTGCTAGTTTTTTATTACTTCACGTATCAAATAATAAATTGTCACATATATGTCACGTATGATTATTATCGATAGTTTGCACTATGAAGAGCATTACTCGTTAAAAAGTATACCAAACTCTATTAATAGACATGACTAAGACTACTTTTGTTATGACTCGAAAAATAAGTCGAGAGGAGACATGATAAATGCTAAAATACACATTATTATTAGGGGTGTGTCTGTTAGAAATTCTGATCGGGTTTTGAGCAGAAAAGTTACCCTTTTTTTCAACATGTGGTTCTCACCTGTGAGACACGGGGTCAACAATAGTTGTTGAGTTTAAAAATTAACGGTACAAAAATCTTTTGTTTTTTGGTTTAAAAAGCTCCACCGGACACAACTTTGGAAAATTCCTTGTTTTACTATGCCTAAGAACTATGAATTGATCATAACAATAAAAATGATGTATATAATTAGGCTCAAGTTTATTTATTGTTGGTTTTAGTTTTATATTTCATTACTAATATTACAAAACAATAATTCTATCATCAAAATGGTCCCATGGTCTAGTGGTCAGGACATTGGACTCTGAATCCAGTAACCCGAGTTCAAGTCTCGGTGGGACCTTCATTTTTCAATTTCCACCCCATTTTTCCTGCGTACATTCTAGTACAACCTTTCTTCTCTTTGTTCTTGTTCTTTTTCCCTTGACAAATATGGGTAAACGTAATTACTAAATAGTAAATACAGAACATTGATTTTCCAATTTTCTTCTTAGGGTTTATATTTTTAGACAATAGTTATTTATATACACTTACTTAATTGTAGCTTTGTTTGAATAACATACAGTAGACGTTATATGGTATATGCTATTATAAATTTACAAGGAAAAAGCCTCTTGTACCAAGGAGGGACTACCGAATGTCCCTCCTCTCACGAGTCGCGGCCCCCACATGTATTAATAATGCCGACCCGTGGCCCCCACCTCCTATTGTGAGTGAAGTGTAAAAAAATTGGTAAAAAAATTCGGTATATGTAACATAACTCAATTTACAATGGTACAATTTGATTATTTTTCAGATGTTGAAATATTAAAGCAAATAGGTGGACATTAATGAAATATAGAATAAGCACATTACACTTCAAATTACATGACATCCATTAATAATCTTGTTTAGTTCAACGAACCAACACGTCCACATATTACAAAGTGGCAAGAAATTCCATAGAACATATCAAAGAAGCAAAATTGGCATAAGGGTGGAATTTGGGTTGCTAAACATCAGCAATGGAGGCCTTAGAAATTCAGATATGATCAAATTATCCTTAGAGAAATTTTCAAAATTGAAGAGTAAAATGCAGTTACATGTTTATCACTGTATATTACATGACTAATATTTCTCATGCAGGAACTGTCATACTATATATTCAATGTAGTTTTATATATGAATTTTCGAGCCTCAAATCATTGTTCATGCTGTGCTCTGTATAAATCATGTTGCTTGATATAATCAATAACATCGTCTGCTGTCAAATATTTTACCGATAATCCTCTCGAAAAGCAAACCCTGCATGGAGAAACCGACACAAGTAAAGCCAATTTCATCAGATTGATCACCCATCTGACCTGAAACTGCTTGGATGTGGAAGACCATATCTCAACAACTACATTAATAAGTGAAACTGAATTTATTTATTTTTTACCTCAATCCTGTTGAACTGATCCCATTTGGTACTACTTCATCTACAATTTTGATATTACTCTGCAAAGAATAGATCAATGCAGACATTGGAAGTTAATGCAAATATGAGCCAGAATATGAACCAAGTGTTTTGAGATAATATGCACTGTTTCATCATGAGCAGAGCAAAATATGAACAAATATAGAGCTATGAGATCAAGCAACGATAAATACAATTATTTAACGATTAAATGGAAAAATCAAGAAGGTAAATGGGCAGCACTAGTCATTTATTTAACACGGATTACCTTGTGCTTGTTCAGAATATCATCCTTAGATATGATTTTCTCAACGTCTTGACCACCTCTGCGAATACAAACCAACCCATAATCTTTACATATAGTCTCAACCTAAAAATGAAAAGAAGTGCATGATCAATGACAGTTAGCAGAATTGAATTCCTATCACCAATCATCTTTACTGTTGATTTGAAAAATATGGGCTTTCCAGAAGGAGCTTATATCCTGACAAACTTTCTCAGTACATGTTATATTGGAGTATTTTTCTTAACTATTCATCTTTTCGCAAGGCACTACTTTTGTCTTTTAAAGTGTATATTCATCTAAGATGCGTATCGTGTTTTCTGTTGCTGAAAGGAAAACAGCGCAACAATCTAATTGAGCTTTCGTCATCAAATGTGGGTCAAGGAGTCTGCCGATGAGCAAGTTTGGCTAAGCTTAAATATAAGTTAAAAAGTAATTTTTTGTTTCAAGCATGTTTGCATAAGTTACTTCTTTCTTACTTGAGTAAAAAATGTTATTCAATAACTCATACCTTCTTGTCAAATAACTTACATATTTCCAATTTTGATTAATAAAAAGACTACATATTATAAAACTTATCTGTACCTTAAGTTTTTGAGCTTACCCAAACAGTTATATAAACTAAAAGGCTGGCAAAATATCCAATTCTCATATTCTTGTGGTCTATATTTTTCAGCATAATCGTAGTTGAAGTATTCTAGAGTTACCTGCTCACGGATCCAGAAGCCTGGAATGCTGAAAGATTCTAGTAGATCAGAACCACAAACAAGCATGACTTTAAGGAACCCTAAAAGAAGAATAGAGAGTCTTGAACTTACAACTGAATCAATTAAAAACAGACAAATAATTCATATAAATCACGTTAGAGAGTGAAACCAAAACTTGAAGGATGCAAATTTCGTTTCATATTCTATGAATAACTCTTAAGTTTGTGAAGGAATGGGAACTGCTTAAGCAAGATAGACAATTAGGCATACTCACTAATTAATGTCAATGAGTAGGGCTATAAATATGTTAAAGCTACTACCCATGCATCGAGATTAGCTGATAATTGGCTAGAGTTGTAACAAGCCAAGTTTGAAAATACTTCTCTAATGTTTCAAATTTTATTGGTCCAGTTTGAACTAGGTTCGTTTAGTAAAATCTATGTTAATTTCTGTAATTTAACTAGCTAGTCAAGCTCACCTCAGATTTGTCATTAAAACTCGGCTCAAAGGATAAACAAGGTGAGCTTGAGTAATTTTAGGGTCCTCTATAATATTAATCTGCACTTGAACGCCTTAAAATTTTCTTGACAATGCCCCACCCCACCCCGCCCCACCCCACCACGAAACAATGGTAGACTTACCATCTGATACTATTCCACTCTCAATCAGTGAAGTCCTTACTCTGGACAAAACTGTTAATGTGCGTTGGTACTCGCTCTGATTTGCCTGATGAGAGACCATAGAAATGCAATAACAGTCAAAAAAGCATTGAATTAGCAAGAGCACCACACTGGGCAAATCCATATTTTTGAACTTAGAAGTGTCATCAAACAAATCTGTAGAATTCAGCGCGGGCACGCATAGAGAGAGAGAGAGAGAGAGTACCTCCCATGGATCCACCGTGACAAATTCAGAACTTTTACAAGCAAGACGACACATCGCAATGCGGTGTTCAGAGCGGACAAGGCCCTGAGAGAATGGGACACGAATCACGATTATTTTAGCAAAATACATAAATAATCCTTTGCAAGTAGATCCATAAAGGTTGACATAAGGAAACAATAGGAACTGGAGTTTTAGATTAGATTACAGAAAACCATATCCGCATTTGTTGAGTACACCGCGATAGATAAATTAATATTTTATTGGTCAAAGTAGCCTTAATAGTGACAACCTTATAGCTTTGTTTCCTTTTTTCCTTTTTTTAGTTTACTTTGCCAACTATAAGAGGTATTTTCTTCTTTGAATGTAGAGAAAGCAAGCATGTCCAGCTTGAGAGAGAGAGAAAGAGAGGTGTGGGGGGTGGGATTCCATGTTGACTAAAACCATCTCACACTATACTTTTTTGAAGCAATAAGTAGAATGTTATTCTTACATGATCAAAAAGTGAGACGTACCTTTTTCTTGTATGCATCGTTGACAGGTGACATGTAACCTCCAATGACACAAAACTCTTCTGAATTTAAGGCGTCTCTCGCCAGCTCTGAGCGCAAAACAATATAAATTTGTTCAGAACAAGAGAAAATTAATTAGTGTCAACCATCAACTCACAAGCATACACCTTTTCACTGCACACAACCAGATTTGACTCGTCTCTAGTAGAAAATAGAAGGATGCTAGAAAAAAATTGCTTTAAACTCTCCCCCCATACCATCAAAAAAGAATGAACACCTCAACAATAAAATGAAAGAATCACTCATGAAAAGAAAAGATAAGAAACATTATTGAGGTCATGAAGCTACTGACCAAAACAACGCAAGTGCATATATGTAGGAGGATTGAAACTTCCAGTTGATACAAGAACTGCATACATTTTTTCCCTGTGAGAGAGAGAGAGCCTTTAGGATGATATAAAACAAGAAATGAGAAGAGACCAGTCCTATCACTCGACAACCCAAAAAAGGCAAAAACAAAATTGCAGCTTCTACAATATATAAAATAGCCTAATAAAAATTAAACCGCCACTTTGATTTCTGTTTCCCTACAATCAGCTGAATTATAAAAGTGAAAATAATAATAATAATAATAAATCAGCTGAATACAATGTCAAAATAGTTAAACGAAATTTCATCACCTTAGTTAAAAGATTGATATAGTAAATAGATAAAGAGAACAATTCTGAAAAACTGATAATAGGCTAAAAACTTACTTGGCTTCTGAACTTGAAACTTCATCTTGATTTATGCACTTTAAAGATAATTTATCCAGCGGCAAAGCTACAGCTGCATTACTCACAAAATATTTTGTAGTATAATCCCCCGTCAAAAAAGAAAAAGGGCAAATTACAGAAGGGATGAATAAAAAAATATGGGAGAGATATATGAAGAAAAGAACATAGCTCTTAATCAAATTACCTGAATCTGGAGCAGCCATTCTTCAGAAATTGTTGGTTACGATAGAGTCTTCAAATATAACCTGTGGCGTAGCCAAACTTCTTTACCTGCAGGGGGGCACCAATTAAGTTGCAAAAAAATTTGAAACAACATAACAGCAATGAAATGTCTTGTCATTCTAGGTTTAGCAAGACAATTCCAATAGACCAAGGTATAGCAATTCTGTATATATTTAGCCCTTGAGTTTTGATAGTTGGAGAGATCTGCCATGAATTTTCTACCTATTTGAGAGCAACACCAGGAATGCAAGAATAACGACTCATTAATGCACCAAAAATCGTTTCTAACAGGCTACGTAGGTGAGGTAAAAATCAATTTGAAGATTAAGATATCTATATAGTTTATTTTTTCAATGCAAAGATTTTAATGCATTCCTGTGCCAAAAGCAACTGAGGGATTTAGTTCTTTACAAATACATAATAAAGCTTTTTAACAATTGCTGGAATCAAATGACTAAAATCTAAGCAATCGGTTAAATAAATTAGCACACGAGATGTATAATTATAGAATTAAGTAAACAGTACTATAAATTTCACTGTTGCCTTCCCTATAACAGAGATATCTAATATCTTTTAATTTTATTAAAGTTGACTGATTTAAACATCACTAGTCGGAGATCCAAATGCAAGGTACTTGCTCCATCAAATATTTAGTAATTCATTTGTGTCTCAATCCCTTCTCATATTCATTTTCTTTCTGAATTCTCTAAGCATTTGACATATTCAATTCTGAATCTTAGCAACAATAGCAGGAGTATTTGTTGAATCCATTCTACATAAGGTAACAAACTACAACCAGATATCAGACCCATCAATAACAGGTAAGCATTTCAGCAATCAATCCACGATTCAAATTAAAACAATAGGGGGATGAGGGATTATATGACAGAGAAGATAAAAAAAAGAAGATTCAATTACTTGTTGCCGATTGTGAGGATCAAGTCAATGAAAATCGCAAGTTGCAGTCTCCGCCTTCACTCTTCAAGTCTTTACCGTTGGGCTGTTGTGCTTTTAAGAGAGTTAATTAAATGACCGATCACTGGCTTTTAGCTTTCATTACTATTTGTTCAATCAAAAATAAAAAGTCATCCATTGCGCAACTTCTGGGTTGAATAGCTTCTGGAAACATTTTGGCACTTTTGTGGGGTTCAATTTGAATATCTTTTTTGGTGGAGGAAATTAGGGTTCGTATGAATTTGTGGGTTTCTAAATTAATTAATTTTGGTTAATGCTACATGTACACACACTTTTACACCTCTCTCACATGGAGGGGGGTCCACGATTATTTTATTATGTGTGGACCCCCTTCCATGTGAGAGAGGTGTAAAAGATTGTGTAAAAAATTGTATACACTTAGCATTATTCATTAATTTTTTGTCCAAACTGTCCAATAGTTTAACACTGTTATTGACAGGTAGGATTTCCGCTGCCACGTAGATATTTTTATCCACGTGGATGGATGGATTTTAAATGGGTGATGAATTGGTACATTTGTCTATAAGTGAATGAGCAATTGATAACTTTTTAATTTCTGAGTGAGTAAGTAACAATCATTTTAAATATTGTTGATTGATCATTTAATTAACTCATTTTTTATTATTAGAATTTCAACTTTTTTATTCTCGAATAATAAACATTTATCAAAGTCGAAGTCTAACAATTAATTCGAATAACATATTTTATGGAATCCGTGACTTTTCAATTACATATTTCATTAATTTTTGATAAAATTTACAAAAAAATTGATTTTAATCTCTACCAAATTGAGGCTTATACAAATCGGTTGGATTCTGTTGGGTTCTTTTTTTTGTTTTAGCATACTCGAAACCTAAATCGACCTGCTCATTTTCTCAATGAAAAATGGATTTTCTAAAACAACCAACCCAAAATGACAAAAAAAGGTGTGGGTCGTTGAGTTTATGCCTAAATCAAGTGTATGTTTATTGAGAGGGGCTACGTGCATCAATATTTATATTCGTTTGTATGAGTTAGGATTTATTATCCCATTGTTCTTTCAATACAAATTTGGCACCTTGATGCATTACATTTTTTAATAAATGAGAAAATGTCAATGCATTTTTGATATCTCGACTACTCCGAATCTTTCCATTCACTAGAAGGTGTGTTATGTACCAAGGGGCAAAAATTGTATTGGAGACTCGTACCATTGAATTCGAGTATTCACGACTTCTATTTGTTATCAAGACCTATTATCCTTAAATATAGGCACTCTTATGGAAGGTACCATAAGGCTATGCTAACAGCTATGCTTCATGGTTATAGGATAAATTGAGGTTGAAGCTGAGGGAACATATTTGTGAATCTAACCAACTTGTATTATGTCGGATCTACGTGTGATCAGCATTGTTAAAGGAACGCATGTTTCCTCTTGATCACCATGGATACAACATAAAAGCAGAGTTCCACATTACGTAGTTTTCGATATTAAAATTTCGGAGATTTAGAAATGAAAAATTAAATTGTGACCCCTCTTATCAAGGTAAAAGTTATGATCAACACATAATATGAACTAATCCACGGACGATCATGTCATGCTTAGAATTACACAAGGGCTTTTTGGAACTACGATCTCTTCGGATTTTTTTGTTTTTTTGGGTATTTTGCTCCACAAGCAATGAGTGAAAGAATCAAATGTGCCATGGTGATGCCCGAATTTTCACCTATATGTATCTATTTGGTGATGAGTTCTCTAATTTATGTGATCCCACCCAGTCTTCTTGTTCTATTTTCTTTCAATATTCTACATATCCAGAAAATCGTCGACATATGAATTTGGCTTTGATCCTTCCAATGAAGCAAGATATTGTTTCAATAAACGGTTTTATCTTGTTTCAATTTTATTTATTAATNTTTCAATAAACGGTTTTATCTTGTTTCAATTTTATTTATTAATTCTGATCCGGAAGCAAACTTTTCCTTTCCTTAGACAATAACCCCAAAAAAGATCGATCCCTTTGAACATTTTTATTAATTTTGACGATTAATCTAAAAAAAGAGATGCTTCGAAATGATACAAGTTATAATAGAACTTGAAAAAACAAAACTAAAACTAAAAACGAGTATAGTCTTTCATAGATGATACGCGTTTATTATCCATTGCATTGCCTTTTTATTAATTTGATGATTGAATCTCATTACAAATGAAAAATGGATGCTTTGGATTTATACAAGTTGTAATAGAACTAAAAAACAAAAACAAAACTAAAGATAAGTATAGTATTTCATATGTAATACACGTTATTATCGATTACATAGCCTTTTCATTAATTTTGATGATTGAATCTCATTACGAATGAAAAAGGGGCGCTTCGGATTCATACAAGTTGTAATAGAACTAAAAAAACAAAAACAGAACTAAAGATTAGTACAATCTTTCATACATCATACACGTTTATTATCCATTACATTGCCTTCTTATTAATTTTGATGATTGAATCTCATTACGAATGAAAAAGGGGTGCTTCGGATTCATATAAGTTGTAATAGAACTAGAAAAACAAAAACAAAACTAAGGATAAGTATAGTATTTCATATGTAGTAAGCGTTTATCATCCATTACATTGCCTTTTTATTAAGAATCTCATTACGAATGAAAAAATGGGTGCTTTGGATTCATACACGTTGTAATAGAACTAAAAAAAAAACTGAAAAAAATAAAAATAAAAATAAGTATAGTATTTCATACGTAATACACATTTATTATCCATTACATTGCAAAAGCAACATTGAACTTACCAATTCAAAAAGTAGAGAGAGGACAATGAACCATTTAAGACTTCTCTCTGCTTCAATTTTACTTCAAGGCAAGCCTGAGGTAGCCCATCTAACTAACTTAAGAATTATTATTTGTTTTCACTTTTAATCTCTCAACTCCTATTGGATCTCCAAATATTGGTAGTGAAAATGAAATTTAACAGATAAGAAAGCTTTAAAGGAATCTATTCCAAGCCTCGTATATTTCTTCAAAGTTTCCAATTACGCTCTTGTTTGGTACTGATTAAAATTTAGATTTTAATTTAATTCAAAATTAATAATTAATTTCAACCACATATTTTATGGGTCCACAATTTTTTAACCCACATTTCGTCAATTTCTATCAAAATCTAATTTTAATCCCCGCAAAACANAATGTGCCAACTCATCGGTGCTTAGGATAAGATGAGCACCGGTGCTCATTAGATCATTTCTGTATATATATATATATATATATTACTTGTCTTGTTTTCTTAGCAGAACTGCATTCAGGTCACCCATCTTCAATTTGGGATAATCTTGTAACCCAACTTCGATTTGCTTGAAAACCTTATCATTCAGTCCATTGTTGTGTTGACCTATAAGTTAGAAATAAACGGATTATTGACGTGTATGTTCATGTCACACAACAATACACAAGACTCGTCTTAAATAAATAAATAAAATTAAAAGACACATGGATTAAAAACACGTTTTTACACGTCAACTAATTAAAAGCAATTTAAGAAACGACAAATTCAGTCGGTAGGGCAGTTGACACACGTCAGTTGCCCATATGCTTTGGCCAACTGTACATAGTAATCAGTACACCTACCCCCACCGTGGGAATGATAAATACTGTAATTTTTTACCAGGTTTGATTATCGACGAGGCCTTCTGGTTTTCGCGTGCATGTTTCATATGTCGTATGTGTGTTTACAAATTGATATTCACATTTCTGTTTAATTTAAAGATCTTTTTTCTGGCCGGAAATGGGGAAGGAGGGAGGTGGCTGGTTTTCGACGGTGAAGAAAGTAATTAAAAACTTTACCAAGAACTTGCCGGAGAAGAAGGTTAGTTCACTGTCATTATATATACAGATTTTTCCGATCACATTCATTTTTTGTTATAAATATAAGCATACCACTCGTTCATGAATTTTCTGAAAAGTTAATGATATAATTTTCAAGGTTTCTTTCTAGATGAAGATTAACTAAATTTATTTAGGTGCTAATGTTGGAAAATTTTCAGAAGGATAATGTAGACAAACGGCAATACAAAGTGCCAACAGTCATTAGATTGACCAGATATGGACGCCGATCTAAGGAAACAAGGGCTGCAACCGTTATACAATCATATTACAGAAGATATCTGGTGACTACTATTTTTTCAAGAATCTGACCTTGAGGGCTTGTCTGGGAGCATTGAAAATCAGCAAAATTGTGATTTTTTGACCGTTTATTTTCAAATGGTGGGGCCCCCTTGACTCAACTAAGTCAAATTGTGGGCTTTTCACTGTAGCAACGGTACAAAAATCGATTTTAATTCTGCCCATACACGCCCTAAATTTAGGGAGCTACTATTTACATTCACGAATGTTATATATCCATCCTAGCTACTCTACATATATCTCTATTAAAATAGTTAGATTTTTAAAAATTATTATTTTCATGTACGTTATATTCCAATATTTTTCTTATTAAATCTATTCATTTAAACTATCCACACAAAATTTATATATTCATCACTCTCTAAATACATCCCTATTACAATTTCAAAATTAGAGAAAATCACTATATCCATCGACATTACATATAACATCAACCTTCCCACAAATTCTAAAAGTATTTTACATTGTTGTTAGAACTTCCATGTTGGATAGATTTTTTGCAAGTATATACTCGCAATGTAAGGAATAAAAATGCATACGAACTTATCGATTGAACTAGTAACTTCCATTGTGAAAATTCCCTATTCCTCATTTCTTCATCCATCTCTACAAATGAGGATTCAAGTCACACACACCTGTGGGTGTGGGTGTGTGAATGATAGAATTTATTGTATTGTAATATATTAATTTTAGGTTCCATGATTGGTTATAGAATTCTGCTAATACTAGAATTGTAACCCTGGTTATTTTCCTTGCTAGACTGAAATTCTTTTTGTCCCCATCAGTCTATTCCTTTTGCAAACACATATGTTAGCAATCATGTTTTCCTGTGGAATAAAGATTGATGAGTACATGTTCAAAGAGGAGAATGGAATGTACACAAAGTCGAACACAAACCAGTACAACGAATAAGATTATCACTCGAGCTTATCAAATTTGTCATATGACTTCTTCAGGTAATAAAATTCCACCTGTTTCATAATGAAAGGCACCAGAGAGATTCAATGGTCTGTACTTTTCTCCCATTAGAATTTTCTTCTTTCATAACTCCATTTATCTTCTTTCCTCTTCTTCTTCTCCATCACGTATGCGCTTTCTTTTATCAAGATTCTGTGAACTATTTTTATCACTGGCTCCACCATTGATTTTTTCATCAAACTTCAATTTCCTAAAAGGGGAACCAATCCTATTTCTGATGAACCTATAGATTTTTTTTGGCATTTTCACATGTTACTTATCAACTTTTTCTTCTAGCCCTACTGATTCTTCATCCTCTAGAATTTCATCAAATGTAATTTCTTGTTCTGCCAAATGAATCTTGAATATTTTATAATTTTATCAAATGTAATTTATCTCCCTTTTTTTTTTAGTTGAAGTGGATATTTTATGATGTAAACATCTATTTCTATCCACGATTTTTATATATTCGTCATCTTTTTTTTTAAAAAAAAATATATTACATTTTTAACCTTGTAAATTTACTCAAATGGTCAAAAATAAAAGCAAGTAAAATATATCCTTCTAACTCTATCCACTTCAGGGTATGACAACCATCACTTCATATATATATATACCACACCAAGATTTAAGGCTATAATCTGCAAAGAAAAGTTTTTTTTAACAGTGATGGTGTCTCATGTCCACCAAAGCCACCACTGCCCTTTGCTCTTCGAATTCCATTGCAAAGATCACCATTTTCTGCAATAGAAGAAATTGTTGAGATATGAGGAAATTTTGAGGACATAAACTTTCTCATCATATCATCAACATATGTCCGTATTATTGTTGTTATCACAAGTCTCAATTGCATACCAAAATCTTTAGGTCGAGACTAATTTAATCATCCCGTTGCTTTTTTCAAAATTTTGTGCTTTATCTACCCACTAAATTATTATTCAGAGTGTGTTTGATGTACATTTTTTAGGAGATAATGCAATTTTTTGTGTGATGTGATGGTGAATATGTGGTTGGAAAAAAAAAAGAAAATTTATTGATGTGATGAAAAATATTATTTTATTGAAAAATGCGTGATTAAAAATGAATAGAAAAATGATGATGAAAATGAGAATGTGTCTCAAACAGGGGCTCAACTCAATGATAATGTAGCAAAACAAATTTTCATGAACCCACAAAATATTTTGTAAAACTTTTAATCTTTCCCTATGTTTGGGATTTTGCAAAAAGCCATGCAGTCACAAAATTACAACTTTCGGATTTTTCTCACACTGAAAAATATCCCTTTTGTAAACTCATATGAGGATTGTATGCAACTTTAATGTGATTTTTTTTTTTCATTTTTAAAATTTCAGTATTTCCATTCAATGCATTTGTTTTTGTTTTGATTATTAAGGTTATCTTTTAAAATTTCGTAGAAGAACTAGAACCAGAAAGCACTTTTGTTAACTGTAAAAAATGTGATTTTATAAAATAACTAGTTAGTAAAAAACGACGACAACTCATGAGCTTCTTTAAATTGGCTGAATTTCTTCTTCTTTTTGCCTTCGTCAAGATCTATAGTTTATCCATGTGTAGTTCAGTATATTGATAGTTTGCCTATACTTGTCTTAGCGTATGATAGCTTCCTAATAATTTGTAAATTATTGAGGCAGATGAAATTTTGAGGGTAGAAAATGGGTATATTTGTATTGAATGCATAGTTTTAAATGAATTAATTTAATAAGGTTAATATTGGAATAAACATGAATGGATATAATATTTTTTATAAAATTTAAAACTTTAATCAACGTGAATGAATATAATAGGGAGGAACTTAGAGTGTGATGGATATATAAAAATTGTGGATGGAAATATTAGGGTTTTAGTTGAACACAAATTATAATAGAATATTAAAAGATCAAAAAGAATTTAATGAAAATAAATATTAGTAGAACAATGCTAGAAAAACAGGGCAAAAAATCAGGGAATTGCGTACAGATACAATTGGCATCAAAACATTGGGGGATAAGAAAATTTAAAACAAAAACCGACAAGTCAGAGGCGCCACGTGTATCTGGTTTCAAACCGTGTCTGAATTCCCTGTTTGAGTGACTTTATCCATATTAGTATATACATTTAGAACTATATATTTTTCCATCACATCAATAGTTTCTCCTTCTTTTTCAACCACACATTCTCTATCAATCTACTATTTCAAAATACATTCCTCTAAAATAATGTGGCTCAAAATATTGTTTTGTAGGCAAGACGAGCACGGTGTGCTTTGAAGGGTTTTGTAAGGCTCCAAGCCCTAGTGCGGGGTCATAACGTGCGTAAGCGCTTGCAAACTATGGCGCATGCTCGAAGACTTCAATTAATCCAAGATGAGTTTCGGAACAAATTAGAGAAAGAACGAAGAATAAAACTAGAAGTGAAAAGGGATAGAAATCTTGCCTATCAGGTTTGATATTTTTACCTCATTTCATTAATTTTAGCTAAGTCAATAATTCACGATAACAATCACATGTGATTTGTCTAGTACACAATAATAGTTACACTATTGTTTTTTATTTATTTATGATGTATTAACATTTGAATTCGATATGATTGACATTCTGAACAAAATGGTGGCGATATTAAAATTTATGCTCATGAGAGCAACAAGCCACACCGGGGTTGGAATTGGCTCGAGAAGCAGCACGTGGTAGTTGGGGAAAGCTTTTACATAAGTGGTACCACATCACATGACGTATACGAGAAAAATGCTGAATTGGATTGGGCCATGTCACCAGGTCCGAAAACTGAGAAAATTGACCGATTTCGCAAAGACCGTATCGAATTAAGTCCATATACTTCTCGACATCATGCATCGAGCTTGGATGATATACCTAGCTACATGACCCCAACTAAATCTGCAAAAGCAAAAGTTCGGGGTGGAGGTCCAGTCAAGCAAGGTAGCCCACGATGGAACCGATGGAATTCGGGCCCAATTACTAGTCTGGGCTATGAGGCCCCGAGAAGCCCAAATCCAAAATACCCATAATTTATATATAATTAATTATTTTATATAAACAATGTTGAGAATTATCTATAAGCGGGGTGCCATCTTGATTTGCTTATATACTAGCGATTGAATGTCTAAATTTCGTTCTGATATCAATAATGACCAAAACTAATTACCATCAAGATTCGCTCTTAGTTAAACTAATCTAATCGATTTTCAAAACGGGTCGGTTCAATTTCAGGTTGAGTTTGACCCGTTTCATTGGTCGAGTTAGATATTAGTTCGATTCAATTTAATCTGTGCTCACTCCTATGCTTTTAAGAATATGTACTATCTCGATGTTTTCTCAAACTAACTGTAACAATGAATCATTTTAAATTATCAAGTCAAAGATAATACGTAAAAAAAGTAGATTTCATAAAGTCTATTTTGAAGAAAAGGGCAATTTGCTTGAATCTATAATATATTAAATATCATATTAAGTGAGAATCATTTTTTGGACGGTTCTAACCCTATTATAATGCAATTATTTCAATATGCATTTTATTTATTTAACCATTTAGTTACCATCAATGTACATGTACATTTGATAGATTCTTTTTATCTGTGTGTTTTCATTAAGAGTAATGTATGAATTCTCAATTATTTAATATTCATATTCATTTAATTAATATTCACATACATTTATGAATTTTTGTGTTATTAATTATAATTATAAGCTAATTAAATTTTCACATTTAAAAATACATTTCAGTATTTACATAGATGCATTAATTAACGTCCAATGTTACTCAATTGAAAATTAAATAATAATTTAACATTTAGTGTCGCGTATATATTCGCTTGTATTAATTATAAATCAATTAAAATTTACGCATATTAAAATATTATTTTTACAACATTTATATTTTATAATAACGTATGGACTATAGGGTCTATCTGTCCGTCTTACGTGTAGAGAGAGTTTCTCACCGCTCAAACTACTTCAAAGCTGCCACGTGTCTTATCAATGAAGTTTGTGCCAGGTGTCAATTCCTCGTCGTTTACAGTCATTTGCTCAATTTTTATGACTTTAAAAACGACAACGTTTCGGCCCCCCTTTCTCCCACCCCCACCCCCACTCTCTCTCTGTATAAATATCTCTCTACAGCTAGTCAGGATTCCTTGCTTCTGTACTTGGTTTCTCTCTATGGAGACTCTGCAAACTCCATCGAGATTTCTATGCCGCAGACCAACAGAAATCGCCGTTTTAAAGTCGTTCAGTGGAGTTGGGCAGGTGGGGTTTGGCTTTTTGCACAGAAATAGGAAAAGAGGCAGAGGAATTCAGTCTTTAGTAGTGAAAAGAAGATCATATACTGAGGAACGTAATGGCGAGGATACGATTAGAAATGGTAGTGATTCTCGAGACAAGGAGCAAGTAAAGGGTTTTCTATTGAGCACTGAGAGGGATAGTTCTGGCTCTGTTGTTGGGTTTCAGCTGATTCCTCGGTCTGGTAAAGTTCGTAGTTACTTTTGATTTTGTTTCGTTTTCATTTTCTTCTTGGCTTGATTTTATTGTTGATATGTAAATTAAATTTTTGCCAATGATAGTCGAATTGGATTTTGGGAGTGTTCACGTGATAAGATTGAAATATGAGTGGCAGGCAGGGACTGGGAAAAATCCCATTTCAGGAAAAAAAATTATTTTTTAGGGAAAATTATATATGGTGGAATAAGTTGTTAATTTTAGCATATATTTTAGTAGTCTTGCGTAAAAGTGATGGAAGGGAGCTGTTGTCTTACCACACAGAAAATTAATAGCTAAGCACCAATGAAAGTTTTGGCATTATATGAATTATATATGAATGTCATGGATTCATTGGAGTATCTACTATGAAAAGAATATTCTTTCACCACTAAGCTTAGGCCTAAGGAATTCCATACAAAATTAACAATTAAATCAACTGTGCATATGATGAATATTTGATTCCACAATAAGATCCAAAGGGTATAAGATTGTAAATGTCGCATAAGATGGGATGTATAAATAACAATGAGGATGATTACTAACCCGTTTGGTACACATTAAAATGAAAGAATGCATTTTTCTTGAAGTGATGTTATGGAGAATATGTGGCTGAAAAAGAAGGAAAAGTTATTGATGCGATGAAAAATATTATTTTATTGAAAAATGTGTAGTTGAAAATGAGTAGAACAATGAGAATGAAAAAAATAATGTGGCCCAAACAGGGGCTAAAATGTAACCTGTCAAAGAGTTGCTGATATTTTGAACCTTCTCAAGCACTATGTATTACTGATTAACTGTAGTAGCTAGTTCTCTTACCTGGTGGTCCTGAATGCTGAAAAATACCTAAGTTTGACTAATTTTGAGAGCTGAAAGTGTGTTAGAGCCTTTCACTTTCCCTATTCATTTAATCTACTGAACAAATGGGAAAGAAGCAGCAACTACAAATGGTAAAAAGTGAATGATTATAACCGAAAATGTGACCCTAAATAGGGTTGTATGGTTGAGTATCAAAACATATTGAGATTTTGTTGATTTTATGCCTCTGTTTGGTACCGACTAAAATCTAAATTTTAATCTAAATCAAAGCCAACAATTAATTTTTACCACATATTTGATTAGTCCCACAACTTTTCAACCACACATTTCATCAATTTCTATCAAAATCTACTAAAAATTTGATTTTAATCCCCACCATACAGGGGCTACGTATTATTCTCTGCAATGATGCCTCAATTTAACTTCTAATGACAAATATATCTAACTTCAGTGACTGATGATGAAAAAATCATGGAAACACATGACATTGTAACTAATGGAGGGGAGGAGTTGTCTGAAGACATTGAAAAAGGAGAGGAAGCCTCAACCAAGGTAATCTACAATGTTGTTTTCGTTACTTCTGAAGCAGCTCCGTATTCCAAGACAGGAGGCTTGGGAGATGTCTGTGGTTCTTTACCTGTGGCGCTTGCTGCACGAGGACATCGTGTAATGGTTGTCTCCCCTAGATATTTGGATGGAGGTCCATCAAACAAGAAGTTTGCCAATGTAGTTGAAGTTGATAAGCAGAGTAAGATCTACTGCTTTGGTGGTGTGCATGAGGTTAAGTTCTTCCATGAGTACAGAGGAGGTGTAGATTGGGTAAGAATCTTTCTGGCCAACGTGTCGCTTAGGGTCTGTTTGATTGTAAGGGTGAAAAATGGGTGGAAATAAAATGAATTTTAGGGAAAGTAATTGCCTAGAAATTGTTTTGTAGGGAATTATTGATTTAGTTTGTTTGATTAGTATAACTTTCCACCAAAAAAAATTTTAAATTTTGTATTCGTTTGACTTTGTTTTACATGAAAATTGTCCATTAAAGTGATCATTTTTTCCACAATTGGTTATAATATTTGTTCCCATTGCCAAAAAGTTAAAAAACAAAAAAAGGAAAAAAAAATAAAATTCCGAAAAATTTATTTTTTTAATCAAAGTTTAGTATTCGTTTGGATTTGTTTTACATGGAAATATAACATTAAAGTGAAGAAATTTTTTACAATTAGTTATGAAATTTGTTTTCATTGCAAAAAAATAAAAAAAGCTGGGATTCAGATTTCCCCCCAAAAAGGTGGGAAATCTAATTCC